TCGTTGACATATTCGAACAATATTGTGAATAAAACATTTCAAAAAGTTATGCACGAACTTCATTCGAAATCTTAAACATTGAACGAATAGCATGAAAACAGTTTTCAAAGTAGGTAACAACTTTGGATACACTGGAATACAATGGAATAGAAGTTAAAGTAATGTCAGAATCGATCCAATGTACTTCCATTACGTGAGCAAAATAACCTACGGAAATCATACGATAAAAACCTATATTTCACCTCAATTGCTGGAAATTATGTATAATTTATTGTAGTCTCCAATCCTTTTAATAATGAACCGTCCGCTCCAGTTGGGGTTTAATTTGAACAATTGAAAGCAGGCAAAAACATAGGGTGGTCGACCTTTTTGGGTTGGAGGCTAGATGAAATATTTTGTTAGTTGGAGTTTTCGAAAACACTAATCTTCTGTTGCTGAAATTAAACTGAATTGAGTTTTAAAGTCGTAGAAATAATGATTCTTTAAAGCAAGTATGCGACATTTTCCAATTTCTCAGCAGTAGATAAGATTATTGTAGAAATATTAGAACAATTTTAACGAATTGTTGACTTGGTCAATATACGAACGCGACAGTGGTAAGCGATTTCATTTATAATATTCTGTACAATATTCCTCTGAATGATATGAATATTACTGGAATTTTTTTTCCAACACCAAATCGTTATTTTTACACCTCGACACGTGTTTCGATCACCAAGTGATCATCTTCAAGAGGAAGATAAAACTAAAAACTACTCAAAACTAAAGCTACTTATATTAATCAGGTACATCATACAGGTAGGTAATCAGTAATACCACCATACAAGTGTAACTGAAAAAGTTATTTCTGTGCAATTCCATATCCGTAAGGAAAAGTAACTGTTTTAAACGGGTTATGATAGATCACACTTGCCAACTTAACTGTCAGTACCTAAATTAGAAATTTGCTGGGTTCTCCACATACTAAGATGCTATTTTTATATGTGGGATAAGTAAAAAACACAAACAAAAATATTTATTTCATAAAGTATTCTCTACGATTGTCTCTTTACGTCTGCTTTTAATTCAACTAATCAGGAGTTCTAGCCACATGGTCGAACGGTCAATAAGTTATGCGCCGCTTGCGAGAAGTAATGCAAAGAAAGCGTCCCGTATTTTGGAAAAACAATTCATAGCTCGTCACAATGCATCACTCGTCATTGCTTGCTCGTAATTTTTTCGCGAAAAACAACACCGTAATAATGTCTCAGCCACCTTATCCGCCAGATTTGCCCCTCTGCGACTTTTTTCTGTTCCCAGGATTGAAGAGACCCATACAAAGACGGCGTTTTGCGACGATTAAGGACTTGAAACCCAAATATCTGAGATGACTCAGGGACATACCAAAAAGTGCATATTAAAACTGCTTCAAGAAATGAAAAAAAAGCTGGCACAAGTGTATTATATCTGAGTACGACTATTTTGAAGGGGACAATATTAAAATAAATGAATAAATAAATATTTTTTGAGAAAAATGAAAATTCCTCTTATTTTCAAAATTCATCATTTTAGCACGGTTTATGTCTACCATTTCTTTGTTTCTTTTTGGGGAACCTGTTGCCTTCTTCCACGCATTGAACTTGCGTGATTAAATTTTCATTTGGTTGGCAGTAGTGAATCTAATAGACATTCGAATACAAGCTAATGAAGACATCCCATGGTAAATGCTCCTCTAGCCACTTTAACTAATTACTGGTATTCAATTATTCAAGAAAATCGATCGGTCAGTGGTAACTGTAAACATAATTCTCCTATTCAGGTGATAATACTATACCAGTTGGGGAAAGGTAGAATTAAATGAAACAGTCCAGTAAACAAACTATTGTAATTCTGGGAATATATTGAAGGTGCCATTTTATTATGTTTCAACAGTAAACATTTCGTCTGTATTGTGAGTAGTCTTCACTTGATAGAGCCATGTCATTCGACGTCACTAGTTGAATAACATTTTTAGAAGCCTTATATGAAAGCTCTCTGAGATCTACTCTTTTTATCGGTAAATATTTACTGATCTAGTAGATCTCAATTTAACCCGGAAGTAAGTTTATTCTTATCGTCAAGGAACTTCTTTTATGGATTTTTCCTTCATTCTTGTCAACTCGAAAGAAATGCGTGAAATAAAAGTGGATATGATGAAATCAATACCCACTCTTTATAATATATATTTGTTGTTTTCAAGGTTCAATGAAATCACTTCAATTTTTTGTACATCTGTTAGCGTCTCAAGCAAATTTTATTGATTTCGTTGAAATTGTGGGTAAAATAGTTTTGGGTATATTTTTGAGCTAATCAAAGCTCAATCATTTACGAGCGCAGTAATGTTTTCTACTTACACAATAAAATACATTAGGTAAACGTGAATAAATATTGTTTATTGCGCTTCCGAGCAGATAAAAAAATTAACTCAGTCGAATTATAAAAATTCGTTGCAATAACTTCCGTTGTCAAAATCATCGATGATATCGTCATAAATAATCTTGTTCATTAATTTTGACTCTATGCAAAAAAGAGCAAAGGCGTTCAATTATTCTTGGCTCAAGGTCGATCTCAGATAATTTTTTAACCTTTTCAGACAAGACAGGCTTCTCTCGCTCAAACAATTCGTGAGAGGAGGAAAGTCGTCGGCAAAATTTGTTGCAAACTTCTATCTGTAAGACATCAGACAACCGTCATGCCAAAATCTTTTTAATTTCTATGATGTGGCAAAAAAATCGTTCCCCAAATTTGCCGCCCAAGAAATCTGCCGCCTTAGGCTCAAGCCTACTCAGCCTGCTGGTAAATCCGCCATCGAGTCAGACTACTAAATCTGTTACACTTTGCGTTATTAAAAATGTTTTTTTTTTCAGTAAATAAAACCATAGAAAATTAGTTTTGAATATACTAGAAACATTTTAAATTTCGAAAACTTTCTTAAAACGCCAAAACTCAATTATTATAAGCTCATTTTCTTTGCTCCATCTTCTGAGTTAGTAAATAATCTGTCTAGATTTGTGATGTCATCATAAGATCTTACAGTTGTTCCTAATCATTGGACTACTCACTTAGTTCAACTTTTTTTGCAATACATTATGTAGCTCTAGTTCTCTTTCATCAAGAAATATTTCAGTTTTCTGCATAGTTTCATAAATCGTAATTTTTTTGTTTCGTTGATAAATTTCCTGTACTTTCCAACCTAGTTTTTACAGTCTCGTGGTTAACTAAGGTCAGAGCAGATAGTTGTAGATTCACAGATGAATCAAAAACACCTTCAGGTTCTGATGCAAGTGTTTTCAGTCGCAGACCCAGGACAGAAATATCAACCTGTCTAGGAACCTATGATACTGTATTTCAAGCGAAAATTTACGCTATTGAATTGTGTGCTGAGAGATTGGAAGAATCCAACCTCACACAAAAGTCAATAAAAATATTCTCGGACAGTCAAGCGGCGTTGGAAGCTCTTGGTTCCTACCGAGCAACGTCTAAATTGGTAGCAAATTTGCAAAAACGACTCTCCTCGATAGGAAGACTTAACAGATTGCCTCTGGTCTGGATTCCTGGCCATAGTGGCCTGGAAGGCAATGAGGCTGCTGACTCCCTTGCAAAGGAGGGTGCTGCAAGCAGCTTCATCGAACCAGAACCTGTCATTGGCAACGCTTTAGGCTTTGCCAGACACAGATTGAACACCTGGATGGCAAGAAGATCTATGGACTTATGGTAGAGTCTTCCAAGATTGGCTCACTCCAAGGCGTTTATTCACCCTTCGAAGCTTGATACCAAACAGTTGCTAAACTATAGTAGGTCACTCTCATTTGAATCATCATATGCAGAGACTCGGACTGTCGGAAGACAGTGTATGTCGCCTCTGTTTGGAAAATGATGAAACAACAAAGCACATACTTGGTGCTTGCCCCACTGGAGACCGAATCAGGTTTGCAGAGTTTGGCAGAGCCGTACTCTTACCATCTGACCTGAAAGACCACTCACCATACAAACTAATCGGCTTCGTCAAGAAGCTGGGTTTATTTGGTCGAATGTGAATAGGTGTGAGCCACAATAAACCCTTGCGGATTGCGGTGGAGGGTCGAATAGACCCACTCACTCTTGACCTAACCTTACCTAACTAAGATAACATTGATAAATATTATTGACTTCCCCATCTTCCCATATTTCAGATTTTTCAGTTTATTCAGGAATGTTGTTCTTAAATTCAAAAGAAAGCAACTGTTGACTTTTCAATGAGATACTTCCATGAAACTGGATGTACGAGGTATTTCCATTCTTGCATTTTGCAAGTATTCATTCCGTGGTGCTTTTGGATGCTCACTATTTATAGTGAGTACAAAAGCGGATAGGTCATAATGATTTTTTCAATTTGAATGATGAGCCTTCGTTTAGTTTAGTGAGTATAGTTAATGTAGTCATAACACATCACTAGCGACTTCAAGAGGCAAACATTGAGTTTTAATAAACTACGAGCAGACTTTTTTCTGGGTGTATTTTTTAGAGTGGTAAAATTCAATTTTTTGACTGCCTGTTTTTCTTTCAAGTTCAAACTTTGCGATAATAGTTGACTACAGTTTTCTTCCAGACATCTTTGAATTGATTTAATATTAAATAAATATATCGTTCCGAGGTCAATCGTCGAAATTGATCGAAATATACCGTTTTCTTTGTATCATCAAATTGGACAGGAATCCTGAACGAAGTTATATAAAGAAGATAGAAGATTATAAAATATATGAATCCTGTCAGAATATAATTCAATTAATTTTTAACGTAGATCTGTTAAAATATGTTTTTCCGTTAACCATCTGTCGCGTCACTTTGAACGACAAACCTCAACAGTCGAAACTTGTGCGAGCAAAGGATTAACGAGGTCTTGCCTTATAACGTGCGACTACTAAGTTCAATATTAATGATTTTTAGCTTACCTCACCTCTTAACAAACATTCTATTTTTACTGACGAACTTTCATTTTCCAGATTTTCCTCGTGTCGAAGTCGGTCCTGAAAATCCCCTGCGCGTCGAACGGGATTCACAAGCCACCTTCCATTGTTCCGTCGACGCCAAACCGAAAGTCACGACGATACGATGGACCAGAAACAACAGATTTATCAGCTCGGCACATAACCACACTATCCACCGGGTTAGCATCCAGGACGCCGGGAAATATACTTGCATAGCAGATAACGGCCTCGGCAGAGTCGGCGAGAAGGAAATGACGTTGGATGTGTTGTACGCTCCAATAGTCACGTTGGACGCCAAAACAAAGGAAGCCGAGGAGGGAGACTCTGTCCATATCAAATGTAATATAACATCCAACCCCAGTCCAGTTACAGTCGAATGGGTTAAAGACGGAAAACCTGATTTTCGACAAAGTGGCGACACCTTGCGGATAAGCCACGTTACCTCTGAACACTCTGGTACTTACATCTGCCGTGCTGTGAATGTTATCACACCAAGTAACGCACCTGTTCGAATATCTGAAAAAATCGGGAATGCTTCCATTGCTTTGCTCATTCGGCATAAGCCCGGTACTGCCAGGATTATGCCGGATAAGCCCATTGCGACAGAGGGATCTGCTGTGACTTTAACCTGCACTGCGACTCCTCCGGGTTGGCCAGCTCCTCAGTATCGCTGGTTCAAAGTCGAATCAAACGGTGAAAGCAAAATTCTGGCAACTGGGACCAAATACACCATTCCCAACGCTAATCTAGCATCCGAAGGAGTCTATAACTGTCAAGCCACAAACGAACTGGGACTCGGCGAAATAGCTTCCGTCGAATTGGAAGTCCACCAGCCTCCCAGCTTCAAATACAAACTGAAACCACTTGAAACTAAGCGAGTGGGAGATCCGAACTTTTCTGTGGCTTGCAGCGCGAAGGGAAAACCGCGGCCAATGGTGAGATGGTTGAAGGATGGTGAAGAACTAACTGCTGATGTGAATATGTATGAAGTCAAGACTGATTATGCGGAAACCAGCAACGGGGCGGTTAGCGTCCAAAGTGTTCTGAAGTTCACAGGGAAAGCAAGGCCAAATGGTAATGAGTTGCTGCCTTCTGATAGGGGAGTATATGCTTGTACATTCGAGAACGAAGTCAAGAAGTCGGAGTCGACTATGCATCTTAAAATCGAACGTGAGTATGAATAATTATCTCGTTGATTTATTTTCTGTTCACGGAGATTCCGCTTGAACAACTTTTGCCAGATTGAATTAGGAAATAATTTACTGTTTGATCTCAAAAAATCTGAGTAGAATTTTCTTGCGACTTGGGTTTTATTTTTTCTGAATGTAGCTGTGTTGTGAGTTAAACTGCATTAACGCATTATTATCATTATAGAGAATATAAAAAAGTTGTGAAATATTGTCAAGTAAATTTTTGAAAGGAGATTGAAAATTAATTTAAAAATTCCTTCAATTCCTAAAGTATACTAATAAATCCTGCAGTTCTTTTAGTAAAACTATCTTTTGCTCTACTTGAATTATTCTAATTGTACATGTTCTTCTTTAGATATTTATGTTTTACTTTAAAATTATTTTAATATAATTTAGAACTTTTTCACATACTGGGCGAATTTAACTGCTGTATTTTGTGCAGAATATCTTAACCTAATTTTTAAATGAACCATCTTGTAATTCATATTACGATCTATTCTGTGATATATTGTCCTTAATTTGAAGGAAATCACAACAACAAAAATGATACACGAAGTGTCTAACACAAGCCTTTATTTTCAACTAACTTTAAAACACGAATCCGTACAAGTACGCTGCCTTGTACAGTGTGTCATAAAAATATAAGAACATATATTACATTTGAATTGAAGGGGTTATATTTTTTAGGAGTGATTAATTTTTGGGAAAGAAAATTTTTGGCTTTCTACTACTCCATCTTGATACAAAAAAAAAGAAGGATGAGGGAATCTTCCAAATAAAGGAAGGAAGTAACTCTATATATACATGGATGTGTAGATCATGCAAAGAAGTAACTTTCAGACACAAACTGAAAGAAAGTCCTCTTGAAACAGCTACTTTCATATAAACATTGAATTATGTGAAAGAAAAAATTCTTTCGAAACAAATACTTCTATATGAACACTGAATCATACAGAAGATACTTTTCTGTATTTCAAACATTCGTATTTTCTATAATGTTATCCAATTTGGTACTGAAGAGCCTTGGGGCAAGTGTCTTAAGGCAAAACATCGGTGTATACCAGTGAGGATGGCAGTGTTCTATGTAAGTGTAATTTGTTACCATTCATTTAAAGTAGAACTCATGTGAATGATATCTGAATTTTATTCCACAACGAATGTTTGAAATACAAACTGAGTAGAGAAAAGTATCTTCTGTATGATTCAGTGTTCATATAGAAGTATTTGTTTCAAAAGAATTTTTTCCTTTGTATAATTCAATGTTTATATGAAAGTAGCTGTTTCAAGAGGACTTTCTTTCAGTTTGTGTCTGAAAGTTACTTCTTTGCATGATCTACACATCCATGTATATATAGAGTTACTTCCTTCCTTTCTTTGTAAGATTCCCTCATCCTTCTTTTTTGTATCAAGATGGAGTAGTAGAAAGCCAAAAACTTTCTTTCCCAAAAATATATTACATATTCAATGACCTGAATTCAAACAATTTGTTCTCATTGGTAGTACTTTTTATAGTGGTCATAAAAAAAATTGAAAAATATAGATATAAAATAATTTCATAATTCAACTTACTTAACTACTTCCTTCCAAGAAAAATTAACATTTTTGTATTTGTTTATTGACTTCCCCAGGTATACACTTTTAAATTGTTTCGATGAATCCAATGAACAAGGAATGCATGAATGACATTTTTTGGTATACGGAACAATTTTCAGGGGTATTACTCGAACATAAAATATGTTTCTCTCTACATTGAAAAGTTTAACAAAAGTTTATAATTATTAAATAAGTCATCACTTCATGATTTTATTAGTAGACATTAGAAGTATACAGCTTCCAGATTTCAATTATAAATAAAAATGTTCTGTAACCCTTTGAAATACCACCATGTTGGTTTTCTCAAAAATAACTATGTGGCTAGTTTTGTTTTGTTGCTTGAAAATCAACAACCCATACTGTGTTACTTTTGATTGATGTCTTCAAAAATGGAAACCCATTGTTAGTATTCTTGTTATTCATATAATCTTCACATTTTATTTATTGTGCGAAATATTTTCTTGGTTGAACTTTTATTTCAATTCCTTCATTCAGTATTAGTACAAATTTATAATCGCTTGAACATATCAGGAGTATTATTTATCTGTTATCATTTATTGACTATAAAATTTTAATCAGTGAAATTCAGTATGAGAAACTGTTAACCACATTCCAATCAAATATCCCTATCACAAAGTATGAACGAAATTTTACAATGAAAATGTGTTAATCCTCCAAACCCTATCTACCATTTTGATTTTCACCAAATCAACTGCAGGAAGGAAAGTAATCAAAAACTTGGAAAATTTTATCATTTTCAAATTTGAATCAATTTTTTTCAAGGATTCACCATCTTCTACGTTTCAAGCACAAAAGAATTGATGTTATATATCAACCACTTTATTTTTTCTGAATAGTTGATTTTCTTGATCAAAAACTAAAATTTTTGTTCCGACAATTGAAATAATAACATTACATTCTAAAATTTTCGTAAATTACAAAAAAATGTTGTATGTGGTTGGAAATATTGGTATACATGCAGGATAACACTGAAGTAGCCCTAAAGATGTCAGAAGTTGAATACTTACATCAATCCAATTGAATAATGTCCAAAATTCCAAGTAAACATGTCTAACACAACACAAGTTCTGTTGCCAAATAAATTATCCCACTTTTGTGGAGACCTCACCTATCTTTAAAATCTAGGTATATATATATATATATATATTTTTTTTCTTGCAGATGAACCAATCGTGCTGCACCATTTCAATAAAGTAGCATATGACATCTCGGAAAGAGCAGAAGTTTTATGCAAAGTTCAAGCATATCCTAAACCCGAATTCAAGTGGTTCTTAGGTACTAACATCAGCCCTCTTCATTCTTCATCGGAAGGGCACTATGTGGTGCACACAACTAATGATGATAATGATGTATACACTAGCCTCCTCAGAATATCTGATATCAAGAAACAGGACTATGGAGAATACACCTGCCAGGTTGTCAACAGTTTAGGAACTATTGAAACCAAGATCAAGCTTCAGTCGAAAGGTCCCCCAGAGAAGCCTACTAAATTGGTTGCATTGCACAATGGACCCAATTTTGTAACTCTGGGCTGGGAACCAGGGTTCAATGGTGGAATTTCTAACACAAAATATTTTGTATCATACAAGAAAATCATCAGTGACCATGATATTATTGTTGAAGGGTGTGGATCTTCTTCCAGATCAGGTGAATGGAAAGAGGTGGATTGCCATCAAAATGTTCCTTGTAATGTTACTCACTTGGAGCAGCATCAGAGCTACTTGTTTAAGGTAATTAATTTGTGTTATTACCAACCTTTGAGGTTGTTGTACTGATACATTTTGTACTGTACTGATACAGCAAAATTAAGTAGTTTCAGAAACATGAATCACATCATTCGAATTTCAAACTTCCAGTTTCTGTTTTCAGCACAAATTCCACATCAATATTTTTATTGGTCAGTGATTGACGTTATTTTTGAAAAAAACTGTGATCATTGAGTTTCTATTCACCCAAGTAATTCATGTTAATATTTTCCTTTCAGGTTAAAGCTCTGAACACAAAAGGTACTAGCGAGAACTCTCAAGAAATCAGAGAAAGAACTCGAGTAGATAGAATTCCTGTTCCTCAACGAGTTGCCTATGATAGAGCTTCTCACACCCTATCTATTAATGTCCCAGCAACTTGTCTTCCCTTAATAGCAGTGGTAGAAACTGTAAGTAATGACAATCATCCCATCACTGCCTGGCAGGTCGTGGACAATATGGAGTTGCAAGTTTCTGGCTTGGTTCCTACATATAAAGAGAAAAATATGGATCAAATTAAATCCAGATTTTTCAAAGGAAGGTCTCTCACAGATGATCCTATCGGAGTTAATGATGATGAAAGCCCCAGAGTGAGAGTAAAACTCTGCCTTCAAACTCACTCAGATCATTGTGGTGAATTTGTAGAAGCAGAATGTAAGTCTTTGTAATTGTTATGAAAAATTCAAAATTTTATGATTTGCTTTTTTTTTTTAGTAGGCTACGCTCACATTCGAGAAGCATCTGCATTGACAACTCCAACCCTGATTGCTATTGTGGTCTCCTGTATAGTATTTCTTCTATTCGTCGGACTGTTTTTGGTATTCTGCAGGTGTAAGAAGAACCAGTCCAAGAAATCTCAGCAAGCCAAAGACTATGAAATGGATTCTGTGAGACCCACCATCGTACCTCAACAAAATCAAGCACCACCTCCGTACTATCCCTCTTCAGGTATGGAGAATAAAGCTCTAGAACATTCCTTGGATTTGGCACTTGCCATGGAAGACCAGAAATCTGTATATGCCACCCAGAATGGTTATGGATACCATGTTGCCAATACAGATATGCAAAGTAGACAGAATATGAATAATACTGACTGTGAGTAAAATCAAGATTAGTCAGTCTGATTGGAAAATTACCTTGGAATCAAATAATCTTGTTTTGGATAATTTCAACTTGAGTAAACCTGTTTCACTTCTTTCACAGGGGCCAACATGGGATACTTGGAGAACAGCTACTCAAACTCAAACAATGGCGGCAGTGTAAACTCTCAAGATTCTCTGTGGCAAATGAAGATGGCGGCAGCTTCCACCAACTCTAATAATCAGCTTCAGCCTCACCATATGAATGTGGATAGACAAAATACATACGGATATGATCCTATCACTCACGGAGGTTATGGCGCTGTAGATGATTATGCACCCTATCCCCACATCACAACCCAAAGTAATCATGGTGATGATTATATGAGGAACAGTAACAATCCGTCCAGACAAGACTACTGTAGTGACCCGTATGCTGCTATTCATAAACCTAAGAAACGCATTGAGCAACATATAGGTGAGTTTTAGTTACACTAAATTTACACAATTTAATTTCTCTCTGCTGTAAAATGAATAATGAGATATAACCATGTGGTTATGTTTTTATTGCCACTTCAGTTGATGAATAAGTAGCCCAAAACACTCTTAAAGTATTTGCATCATATAAAATATAAGAATCTGAAATGTGTTTGCAAAGAAAGTGATAGTCCTGTCAATTTCGATTAATAGAACAATAATGAAATAACTTTTTTTACTGTTTTTTGGTTTCAAGAAATAGGTAAGTATTTTTCCCGATGAGTGCCCTTTACTGCCTAGGCGAAGCTTTCTGGCTTACAGAGGCAGACTTTTCTGGCTATCAATGGAGCCATCAGTACCGCACCATCAACGGCCATGGAGATCCTTCTAGATCTACCTCCTCTCCACATTTTTCTGGAGAGAGACGCTAGATAGACTGCATATAGACTTGTGCACATTGTCAATTGCACAAATCAAGTTAATGCAGAGTGCAGCAGACTGTTGGTTGACACTGGAAGTCACAGCATTCGGGAAATGACCTCTGACTTTATGCTTCCAACTGTCAACTTCGAACTGCCTAATAAAGTACTGTTCCCGAGTAGAGAGGACTGGATCCTCCGGGAGAAGGAAATATTAAGAGCAGATAGTTGTTGGTTCACAGATGAACCAAAAACACCTTCCAGTTCTGGTGCAGGTGTTTTTAGTCACAGACCCAGGACACAGATATCTACCTGCCTAGGAACCTCTGCTACTGTATTTCAAGCAGAAATGTTCACTATTGAATTGTGTGCAGAGAGATTGGAAGAATCCATCCTCATACACAAGTCAATAAAAATATTCTCGGACAGTCAAGCGGCGTTGGAAGCTCTTGGCTCCTACCGAGCAACGTCTAAATTTGTAGCAAATTGCCAAAAACGACTCTCGTCGATAGGAAGACTTAACAGATTGTCTCTGGTCTGGATTCCTGGCCATACTGGCCTAGAAGGCAATGAGGCTGCTGACTCCCTTGCAAAGGAGGGTGCTGCAAGCAGCTTCATCGGAACAAAACCTATAATTGGCATCGCTTCAGGCTTTGCCAATATATACTTCTGGCAGAATCTTCCAGGATTGGCTTATTCCAAGGCGTTTATTCATCCTTCGAAGCTTGATACCAAACAGTTGTTGGACTACAGTAGGGATGAACTACAATGTCTTACAGGCCTTCTTACAGGTCACTGTCATTTGAATCATCATATGCAGAGACTCGGACTGTCGGAAGACAGTCCCCCTTTACTGAATTCCGCTGGACATGTTCCAGTCCCTCATTTGTTCAAGCAATATCAAACTATTTCTAAACTCTGACGAGTTATAGCTCTTAAAATTGAAATGTAGACCTTCTCGTTTTCCTGCAATTTTGAATTATTTCTCCATACTTTCATTTGATATCCACATCATCAATGTGCCTACGAAAACAGTCCACCCGCCATATTGGCTTTAGAATTTCATTTTATATGCTTTTCATTTGATGAACACATCAGGTGCAAAAAACTTCACCATCTTGGGTGGTCCATCCTATTTTTAAGCTGTCATTAGAGGAAATCTATAATAGTATATTGTGATATAGCTCGATTTCGTCAGAAATCCAGTTGGGAATCAAAGGGAATCATTTATTTAGTATTTCTATTAATGAGTAATTTCATAGTAATACCTAAACTACCCATCTACTTGAAAGTTCTTTAATTTGAATTTGGTCGGTCGGTAGCCGGGCGGTTCGACGTGGGTGCTTTGTTCACTCACTCGAATTGACTGCCGTGTTGGTCGATGGTTCAAGCCCTAGTCTGAACGATCGATTTTCATTTGCTATAGTCCAACCCGTGTTAGGAATCACACGTTAAAAGGTAAGACCTCGTTAGTCCTTAGCTCGCACAAGTTTCAACTTCGTTCGTAGGGGTGCGACAGCTTAATAACAGAAAAACAGATTCTAAACAGATTTTTTATATATATAATCTCCAATAAAATTATTTATTTACAGATTCACCTTACCATGATGTAAGTGGCCTCCCTGATCCTTACCTGGAACAAATGGAGGATGAAAAACCACCACAGCATATGTCGCTGAATTATGAAGAAAGTCTAGAAAGTGGCTACTCAACTCCAAACTCACGAACAAGAAGAGTTATTCGAGAAATTATTGTGTAATTTGTTTCCTCGTCGCTGGCAATCTCTAACATCCCCGAATTTAGAATAGAGATAGGTAACTACCTTCAACTTTCTTTCTGAAACGTTATCTTCTTGAGTACCTGACAGATCATCGTTTTTAACACAGTATTGTTGAGTTGCCTTTACTCTCATTACACCTCATTTTATAAATATTATTCGCATTCCAAGAAATACATAAAATGTTATCCAATAAAAATGTTTTGAGTTACGTTGTCATCCATTTTAATAATTCTGAAAAGAAAAAATAAATTATCAGTGAACAAACAACAAGTTTTTCTATTTATTTATAATTTTTGAAACTCGCAGTGGAACAAGCACTGTAAACCTGATTATTATATTCTGTTAGTCATTGAATTGACCAGTTCTTTAGTAGAACAGAATAGTTAAAAAAATATTTTCATATTTTTAGACAAAATATATGTCGTTTTACCTCTGAGCAATTTTTTTCTAGCAAAGTGGAATTTTTCATCTGCGTAAGAGCATGCTCCGAATATTACTGCAGTACAGCTCAGCGATTTTCAGTGTAACCAACATTTTACAATTCATTAGATATAATTTGTATTATTTGAATAAATAGAAAAATGAAATGACAAATCCACTTTTCTATAAAGAGAACACCTAATCTCAACATGTAATTAATACATAGCCATAATTCTTTCTTTTGTCTCTCATTATTTATGTTGATAATGTTGAAAAATTAAATTATGTGAAACTTGATATACAATTATTTATTTTATTGCCCAACTATAAAATGGTTTTATTATTCAAGACTGACTGAAACTTGTAACTTATGTCAAACGTCAATTCTAATAGTCTCTGATAAAATATGTATGTTGATCAAAAAGTTAATTTGAGAGACCACGTGTTCCTCAATACATGAGGTGAACACCTTGTAACAAGTTGATTAGATTTTATATTTCATATTGAAAGAGGTATATTTTTAGCATAAATTAAATTTTTGGTAAAAAAAGGTTTTGGCTTTCTAGTTCTCCATTTTAATAAAAAAAAGTGAGAATATTTCAAAGAAAGGAAGAAAACAGTTAGTTTCTAAATAAACTCTACAAAGATATGTAGATCATGCAAAGAAGTAACTTTCAGGCACAACTACTTCCATAAAAATATTGAATCACGCGAAAGAAAAAATACTTTTCAAACAACTACTTTTATATGTACATTGAATTATACTTTTTCTATTCAGATTGTACTCCAAACTTTCGTTGTGGAATTGAATCAGGTATAATTCACTATATTGTGTAACAATCCTTTGATTTCACTATATTATGTAGCAATCCTGGGAATGTGATCTAATTCAATTCTACAACGAATGTTTGAAATAAAAACTGAATAGAAAAATGTGTTTTTTCTTATGTGTAATTCAATATTTATATGAAAGTAGTTGTTTTGAGAGGGTTTTCAGTTCATGTCTAAAAGTTATTCCTTTGCATAATCTACACATCTTCATGAATAATTTATTTTTAAATTACTTACTTTTTTCCTTTCTTTGAAGAGCCGAAATTTTTTCTTCCCAAATCTTATGTTTATTTTATAGGAATTGCAGAATGATTCTCATTATAATTTTTTTATAAGTATAGCTTCAGATTATTTAGGAAGTGAATTTGTTTCTCGATTGGAATTGAATAATATTCATAAAATTTGTACCCAATATATCTGTGCTTATTTTTCACTCATTATATGTATAAACAACAACCCATTAAGGTAACACTCAACACCTACTCTTTTCACAATTAGAATTAACAATGAATGTTCGCAATTTTGTGTGACATTTTGAAACATGCCATTTTCAAGTGACCTAACATTGCCATTTCGCCAAGTTCATGGCAGAACATTACATAACAAAAAACAGTTTTTTAAAGATGTGATTTAAATTGCAATAAGTGATTGTTGTGCTCTATTGTTGTATTTGATTATTGCACATTTTTTATATGTTGTGTTATTTTCAATTCTTTCTATTGAATCAAAGTTCTGGTTATTTTTTATGTTTTGCATTTTTTGTTCATGGAAAATGTGCCAAATGAAAGTAACACAATTTATACAAATGTTAGATATTATGTTTTATGTGGTAATTGTACTTAATTGTAATTTCAGTCTACTTAATTTTACTCATAATTAGAAAATGCACTTCAATTTTTTTTGAACTGATCTCATGTAAATGCTCATTTGCTTTTTCAAAAATTGTTACATTTAAAATCTCAATATTAATTTTTCGTTTGGTTGATTTCTTATAGCTCTTCATATGTCAGTCATAATCAAAACGTTCTTCAATTTTTGAACAACCAAATGACTTATTTGTTTTGACAATATGTTGTTTCATTTCAGATAGAAAACCGCAAAATTTTATTTATATGAACAAATCTTGTATGTGTAAATGTTTTTGTAAATAAGATATGAAAAAGACTATTATTTTGTAAATTTAAGATTAGATAGTTACTAAGAATAAAATATACATTGTATTTTTACTTTGTAAATACATAGATATAATGCACTTTTCATTTGTATTTCGAATTTTTGTAAATAAATGTCTATTTAAAAAATTTCTATATAGTGGTTTCATTAGTTTGTCCAGTTTCAGTGGGTTTGTTAATAATCTACGAATTGTGAATTGTGAAACAATCTAAAGCAATATATGTAGTGCTCGCCAATAAAAGGTACAAGGTGTACAAAAACAAATTTTCGAGAAAAACTAGTTTGAAGTATCGCAGTGTATTACTACTAGGTACACGGCCTTCAGTGGGGTGTAAGGTCTTGATATCATTGGTCTGGGTATCTGTGACGTCATTCTTTCAATCTGTTACGTTTATTCTTGTAGTGTGGCGGTAACTCCAGTTACCGAGTCTATGATTAGGCTACAATGGAAGTAACCTTTTTGTTTCTGGGTTCTCTATCTATCTTCAGTTTCGTAAGTTTTGTGAGAATTTCATCGTGAGTTATTAATTTTCATAAATTCTATTTCATCTAAATGATCGCGAGTGACGATTTCAAACAGAATCAAGAAGGTTTTCGATAAAGAGTTTGAAGCGGTTAATGGGATTTACGATGCTGTATGTAATGAGTTTGAAGAAATTTTGAATGATACACAACCGAATAGTTCTTGAATCAGCATCGTAGAACCAGAAGAATCTGTCGTACCTGTACCTTTTTTCAGCGAATGGTTATGAACATACGATTACCAAATAAAAGCGTAATTTTTTTTGACGAAGTTCAAGTGAAAGAGCATGCTTTTATGTGTCCGAAACCATCGTTGAGTCAAAACTCATTTTTTTGATATACTATGTACCTACCTTTTTTCGGCAAACACCACATATGTTCATGAATGCAAATGAACATTCAATAAAAATATGATTTTTCCAAAATTAATGAAAACAATCCCTCTCATCTACCAAATCTCCTCTATCCAAATCATAGTCCTTTTATACCACCGTTATCTGTGCCATCACCACCCCTGAGCTCTGAAGAAGAGAGAAGCAAATGGAACATTCACTCAATTAAAATAAGACTGAACGAAAGGTGACAACAACCAATAGATCTCCGAAGGATTTGAGTTTTCTGAATTTCACATAGGATGCCTTTTTTTAAAAGAATATATAATTGAAACTTTTATGACGCTATTATACTGACTGCTATTCTAGACTGATATTATTTATGGCCTTTTTTAAAAATGTTTGGAAATAAACTTCACTAGTATGAACTGAAGAAAATTATCCGAAAGAAAAATCCACTTCATACATCTAAGTGAGTGGATCTGCTAGATGAAGGCAAAATGCTTTGCCAAATTTCGAAGCAAGAGAAAGTGTAACTATAATACAATAATTTGAAACAATATTCCTTATCTCATTTACAAACACAATCTAAATTTGAAGTAGTCGCTGTTCACCTACTCGAAAATTTGCAATATTTGCTTACCTATTATTAACTGGAAATGGGTTGATCTATGTTGGTAGGTCCAAAGTGAGTGAGTCCATTCGACCCTCTGCTGCAAGCAGCGAATGTTTATTGTCTCACAGCCTCTTCTGCAACCTGTGAAAGTTAAATGTATCTCTCACCTATTTAAACTCGACCAAATGAGTCGAGCTTCTTAACGAAGTCTATTAAAGAAGAGAGATGAGCGATTTTTCAAGTCTGATGGCAAGAGTAACACTTGGTTCATGGCGAGGCAAGCACGAAGTGTCTGCGCTGCTGTGTCATCATCCAAACATAGATGACACAGCACTGTCAGAGAGGTGGTAATATCTTCATATAATGATTCGAGAAAAATTTCCATTATCACTGACAGTGTCATGTAGAAGGTACCGAATATGGCCAAAGCCACTCTTCCAGACGTGGTTCTTGCCAAATTGAGTTGAGCCTGCAAATCAATCTCCCGTCTGTCAGCAAACTGTCTTCAGGTGTAAAAACAGAAGAGGAAAAAGTACCCTTCCCTAAGAGAAACTCCTCTGGTCACTTTCCAAAATCTAAATATTTTGGAAATTCCCAAAAAGGTTGTCCTTCATATTTATGATAGCTGTTATGTTTATAAGCATGACATTGATCCAACCAATATCTGTATCTGTACAGTAGGGAGGCCACATTTGACCAATTGTACATCCTCATGAGGAGTTGTTCTCCTAGGTCATCGTCCATTCTTTCCTTTCCAGGAAGGTGGACAGGTCACTAGGAGGCATCTCCTTCATATCGGCAGGTGAAGGCCAAGACTCGCCGAACACACACTCTCTTTGGTAACCTTGAGGTGTCTCACGGCGGCCTTCGTGAATGTTTTGGAAGGTACAGCGACATTACTGTCGTTGCGCGGCTTTTTCAACATATCTCATCCAGAATCGCGGTTTCCTGTGGGCTTCTTCAATGGCCAGAGTTTTAAACCACTTCATATCTGGATGAGATATGTTGACAACACCATAATATGGAACCATGGCAATACTGAACTAGACGCCTTCCTAAAACACATCAACAACGTGAGACCTTCCATCACTTTCACAATGGAGAAGAAACTCCACAACGAATTGCCATTCTTAGACGTTTTGGTGAAGAGGACCGACACTAACTGGGAAACATCTGTATACCGAAAACCCTCACACGGGACAGTATCTGAACCACCATCAATCAACTAAAAGAGGAATCATTAAGATTCTATTAGACCGTGCTTTCGGGCTCTGTAACACGAAGGAAGGTCTCGAGAAGGAACTAGACATCATCAAAAATGATCTTCAACGGTATGGCTACTCCAAAGCGATGGTAAAAAAGATTTTGGCTAAAAGACAGCAGGAGCCTAGCAAAGAAAAGAAGCCGTCATAACTAGTGCTTGCACTTCCCTACATCATAGGATTATCGGAGAGGATAAGCAGAATTGGTTCCAAGTACATCAGAACATGCTTCAGAAACGGTAACACTATCCGTAGCAGCCTCACGAAAACCAGGCCACCAAACGCGGACTGCGATTCCAAGAATTGCATTTACCGGATACCCTGTGAGTGCGGAAAATCCTATATTGGTGAAACTAAGAGGTCATTGAATGTTCGCATTGCCGAGCACTAAAAACACACACAGCGGGGGAAAACCAGCAAAACAGAAATAGCAGACCACGTTTGGACCCATCAACACAACACCGAGTGGTCCCAAGCTGAGATCTTACACAGAGAAGAACATTGGTTTAGGAGAAAATTCAAGGAAGCCGCATACATGTTGTCCAACAACGTATTCAGCCAAGCCAGCGTAGAAATACGCAACATATGGAAACCCATCATCAAGCGAAAAATGGCCAACTCCCGCCAAACGGTCATCTCCCACTGAACTATTGAAGCGGAAAAAAAATGGAAAGCGGGTATAAGTGAAAGTACTCGAACGACCCATAAATGGTCATCTCTTGGAGGAATCAGTCCAGTCATCACCCGAAGACGATTGTGGATACTAACAATCGAAACGTCGTGAACTAACTTGCCTTGAAATCTCCTAACTTTTTTATTTTTATCTTTGTTTTCATTTTGTATTTCTTCATTTTTATTTTTTGTTCAATTGTTTTATTTTTACTTGTATTTCATTTCAGGTTTTTTGATTATTATAATTGTTATTTACATCTATTTATTTTCAATTCTTCTTTTTTAGCTCTTTCAGGGATTTCAAATCATTTTATATATTAGACAATGGAAGTCCGAACTAGTGAAATTCATGAATACTGCAAGATATATCAGAAACAGTCTCTAGAACTTTTTTGTTGGAGCTCTATATAGATCCCAGTGGCGTAATTCTTTAGCTCGATTGAATAATCCTCGAATTTCTTTTCCTAAATTCTCAATGCCTGTTTCTCCAAGAAGAGTTTCCATCATCTCTAATTTGTGAGTTGGCTGTTTTTATGCTGAAAGGAGATTGTGGCGGATCTGTCCTTAAATTACTAATAAAAGTAAATTATGAATGGACTGACCCGTTACTTGATGAAAATTGAAAACACTATCCATGATAATCATGAAACAATTCTCAAAAATATTTTTTATAATTCTAGTAAACGTTTCATGCCGATAGTATACTCTACTACATATCTTTCACCTGAGTATCATTAGGTTCTTACATTATTGTCAAAAAGTGTAACGAATGAATACAATGTTCATCATTCATTTCATAAAAGTTCTCTCGTAACAATAAAACTGTTTTTTTATATTTGAAGAACACAAGGACAAAAAAAGTAGAAATGATTTGGCAGCTATAATTGCTCATATTATAACGTCATTCTAGATGAACTCTCAAGAAAATGAACCATTTTTGCTCATGGAACCATAATCACATTCCACGTACTCGTATTCTCAGTGTCCCAATTTCTGCAACAGAGCGTTCACGATATAGAAAGTGCCACATGTTTCTCTATAGATAAAGACCTAATAAACATAAATATAATGCATAACGATACATGTGCCCGCGAAGGCATGTCGTAAATTGATGAAAGACAGTTATTGAACTCTTCACGCTTTCGGCATTAAGTCGATCTTGGAGTATTTGCATGGATTATTATCATTTCTATATGCGGTTACTCACAATGTGAAGGTATAAAATGCAAATCTACGAGACCTGGATCTAGTAGCAGACTTTGGTTGATCGAAGAAGCTTATTCATATATAATTACCTACATTAACGAATTCCTAATATGAGTCTTAATTGTAAGTAAATACCTATGAGCTTTTTCTGAATTGAATTATTTATCTATACGGTACAGGTTCTACCGCAAATTCTAGACACGTTTCGCTAACACCGTAGTTGCATCAGTAGTAATGAAAACATTAAGTTATTGTGTTAGCGAAACCCGTCTAGAATTATATATTTTTTTTCGTGAAAATTGTTTATTATCATGGACAGTATTGTAGGTAAACTGCTAGGGTGGAGGTTCGGTTCCTCTCAACTCTCGATTCCCACTCGGTATCTGTGTGCATGGGTTTTATAGCGAATATAACCCACCTATAACTAAAATATGGTCTGAAGCTCATCCTCATCAACACAGCCACAGAAATATCGTCGAGAATAAAGGTCCATGTTCGACCATGGCTTGAAATTCCCATATAAG